AGCCAAGGGGGTGTGGACTAAATGTTGGAGCAGAAAAAGATCTACCATTTCATGCCCTGGCAAGTATGCCAGACCTGGGGAATCTGAACTCCAGTTCCCATCAGTCCCAGTCAACCTGGCCAGGGGAGGGCTGACAATCTCATTTCAAAGACACAGGGTGGAATTATCTACATTTGGTTTCTGCTGCCTTAAGTAGATATCAGGATGTCATTTCAGCATTAGAATTCCTCAGCTTTCCCCTAAAATGACTGCTAGAGACATAGGAAAGGGGGGTGCATGTAAAAAAAAAGGAGATATTCCAGATCCCCCTCAGAATTTTCAGCTGAGGGGGTATAATAAAATAAGTATCTATTCTCAAACATAGTGAGATATAGAGAAAAACAAGCTGGCGCATCTCCCCCTTCCCAATTGCTCTGTGCAGAGTACACGGGCTTCCCACATACTAGTGAAATTTCTTTCAGCTTCAAATCCACTCATTGGGCATAGCACTTATTTCCTGGTTTCAGGAATGGTCTGGTGGGCATTTGGCACTTTTTTCCATTGCAAAAATAAACACTGCAAAAATATAAACCTTCTAATTAAGCATTGCAGACTTCTTGTATTCCAGGTTTTGCTCTTCCATGCTTACTTAGGGCTCTTCCATCTGTGTACACACTTATCAGCTGCTCTGCCATGCAGTGGTCATTGCGTGTCAGAAACTGAACAAGACAGTACCAGTAGAGGCAGTCCCTAAGTTACAAACATCTGAGTTATGAACAACCTGTATATAGGAATGAACTGCAATAAAGCCTATTAGTTTTTTTAAATTTCTGCATGAAATCATCATCACCATAGAGAAAAAGGATGTGAAAAAGTAGAGAGGGAGACCTCCAAAGCATCACCATAGAGAGGAAGCAAAAGAGGAGTGAGGGAGGGCCTCCAAAGCATCACCATGGAGAAAGAAGTATTGAAAGGGCAGAGGAGAAGGTCCCCAAAGCATGCCCTGCCCATCTGCAGAGGGAAATCTCTCTGGCATTTCCTTGCTGCAAAATGGAGGCACTGGAGAGCTGGGGAGCAGGGCAGAAATATTTGCAATTTTTCCACTTTCATGGGGTCCTGTACCTCTAATGTATAGGGCTGGCTATACATGATCCAATTTAAATGCAAATTTGACTTAAAGATGAATTTCCATTTTCTCAGGAACCAAATCATTTCTAACCAGAGAACTACCTGTAAGCCGTTGGTTGGGTTTGTGGTGGGAGAATTGTTTTTGGGGAAGGGTTTTCAGTGGCCATGCAGGCTCTTGGTCCTTAACACTGGAAAAGTTCAGCAGCTCCACTGCCAAGCTGATTAATTCACTACTAACCTTGCATAACTTGGCTGTGTACTCACTATTATTCATTCACTACCAATCTTGGCGCACAAGTTAGGCTATGTATGGACAATTGCATAGAAAGCGCCATAGAAGCAGCATCTCTTTAATACTACCAGAATTCAAGCTGCAGCCCCAGCTTTGGCAGTTTGATCATTTGAGCAAGAGAAGCCTCACTGCAAGGGTGAAGAAAAGTCTGTTAAATACAAACTGAAGCCGCTTCTTCCTGCTCCAGACGAGGGTTAGTGGTGTGGTGGATTGACCAGACCGGCCTGCAAGTCAGTGGTGCTCATCATTTTCACTCCAATGGGAAACTTTTCAAAAGGAAACACATCCACCCTCACTCATTTTAATCGAAGTCCACTTGTGCAGATGAGAGGATGCATGTACATGTGTATCCACTTGGGCTTTCATTGTTTTAAAGATCCATTAAAAACAGGTCTAAAGTGCTCCAGTTATTTGGAATGGGGGAAAGGGGATTTGCTGATTGTGGCCATGATCCACAGCATCTCATGCAACAGTCAGACCAAAATCAGGGCCCTTTGTGCTGAAGCACTGGTTGTGCTAGTAGAAGGAAGGTGGCATTGCAATGCTCAGGTACTGCTTGATGTGCTCTAGAAACCTGTAAAAACTGCTTGATCAGAAACTATGGTAGTATTGAAAGAACCAAGCTTGTGTACCTCGTGTATCGTCAGCTCTGCTCTCAGTTCTCCAACCCTGAAATGCTGATTCTCCTGGATCTCTCAGCAGCTTTTGATACCATCAACTGTGGTATCCTTCTGGATAGGCTGGCCAGGTTGGGAGCTGGAGGCACTGCTATGCAGTGGTTCCACTCCTACTTGGCTGGCTGAGTCCAGAAGGTGGCACTGGGGGGGGGGGGCTCTGCACCATAGCTATTACACCATGGAGTACTGCAGGTTCCATATTATTCCCCCAACACCCACATGAAGCCACTGGGAAAGGTCATCCAGAGGTTTGAGCTGCACTGTCACCAGTATGCTGATGACACTCAGCTCTACTCCTTTTCATGTGATCCAGCTGTGGCTGTGAATTTGCTGAACCAATGTCTGAGCAAGGTGATGGACTGGAAGAGGGCTAATAAATTGAAGCGTAATCCAGACAAGATGGAGGTGCTAGCGGTAGGTAGGTCCTTTGTCCAGATGGATGACATCTGCCCTGTCCCAGACAGGGTTGCACTCCCTCTAAAGGACAAAGTTTGGGGTGCTTCTGGACCCAGAGCTGTCTCTGGAACACCAGGTTTGCTCCATGGCCAGGAGCACCTTTTAGCAGTTCCAGCTGATTTATCAACTTCCTACCTATCTGGACAGGCAGAACCTGGCAGCTGTGATCCACACCCTGATGACCTCTCATTTGAACCACTGAGGCTGCCCTCAAAGCAGTCAGGAAACTGCAATTGGTTCAAAATAGGGCAGCTTGCCTCCTTACAAGAACTGTGAGGCATGAACACATTACACCAGTCCTATAGCATCTTTACTGGTTGCCAAGTGAAGTCCGGGCCCGGTTTAAGGTGCTTAAATTGGCATATAAAGCCCTGAACAAGTTAGGACCTGGATATCTGATGGCATGTCTCCTCCCATTCATGCTCACTAAGACCTTAAGTTCATTGTCAAATGTCCTTCTCTGGGAGCCACCAGTAAAGGATATAAAGGAGGCAGCTACTAGGAGAAGGGACTTTTCAACAGTGGGACCCCATTTATGGAAACAGCTTTCCAGAGAGATGTGCCTGGTGCCAACACTTTACACATTTTGGCACCAAACTAAAACCTTTTTTATTTTCTCAGTATTTTAATTGTTGGAATTTTATATTTTATTTTATTGTGGCACTTTGGATTATTTAATTACTATTTATTTATTGTTATTGCTTTCATATTGTGTTCTTTACCACTACAGTTGTATACTTCATTTTTATTGATCACAATTGTGAAATTGTTTTTGTTTTTATCTTATTGTAATGTCCAGCTCCTGCCAACCTTGCAGTTCGAAAGCATGCAAATGCAGGTAGATAAAAAGGTACCACTTCGGTGGGAAGATAACAGCGTTCCGTGCACTTCGGTGTTTAGTCATGCCGGCCACATGACCATGGAGACTGTCTGCAGACAAACACTGGCTCCCTCAGCTAGGAAACGGAGATGAGCACCACCCCCTAGAGTCAGGCATGACTGGACTTAATGTCAAGGGGAAACCTTTACCTTTAATGTTGGGTTTCATTCTATTTTAAATGTTTGTAAACCATCCAGAGAGCCAATTGGCTATAGTATAGAAAGGTTTTAAATACATAAATAAATTCTGTACATAATTTTGCAATGCAGTTCTAAGCATGATTATTCCAAAATAAATCCCAAGGAGTGCAATAGGTGGGAAATCCAGAAATGTGAAGGACTTCAGGGTGAGGTTATTGTATATATATTGAAGGACAATTGAGGTATATATGCCCTCCATGGGCATGTTGGAATATTTTACTCTCCAGTGCCATTGATGTGGGGAGGGGATTACAACCTGGAAAAGCCCTTTCTTTCCAAGAGCTGAAAGGCACTGGGAGAGGATAGGACTTTAAACAGAGAAGGGCTTTCAAAAATGAGGGGGAGGGGGGAACCAACAAGATGTCACCCACCATGAGAGGTCACTGGTTACTGTGCACAATACACATGTAAACTGAGTTATTAATGTTATATATATTAAAATATAAAAATATCTGTGCTTATTATACTTACTCTTCATAAGCTTATGCAAAAGTGCCCTTGCCTCCATATATTACTAAACTATTCTTAAAATTTAGAACAAGAAGTGCACAGAGTTTTCTCATTTCTGTAGTCAATTGCATCAAATGGAATATTTAATCACAATATTAAATATGTCTGAATAAAGTAGTTCCCTTATAATTAACCATATTTCCCATGGCCACAGTGGACTTCTATCCACAGATATATTGCTATAGATGATTGTTTAAAAAAATAAATGAATAAAGATTTTAAATTGGGATTAACTATATATCACTAACAGCTTCATTTAATTTTCTCTCCTCTTAGGATTTCCAGTCCTTCTCCCAGATAGTTGTGGGAGAAATGTTTGGGATCGCTAACAGAGAACTCTCAGCACCATCACTGAACCAAGTTCCAAGGATTCTTTGAAGAGAAACCATGACATTTTAAACTAGGGATGGGAAATGTATGGCCTTCTAGATGTTCTTGGACTACAGCTGCCTGCATTCTTGATTATGCTAGCTTGGGATGATGGGAATGAGCATCTAGTGGACACAGGTTCTCCTTCCCTGGTGCAAAGCGATATAAAACCAATTGGTTTCTGTGCTTAACATGTATAGGCTTATCTCTTGACCAATATATCTGAGTAAGCAGATAATTGCCTACCAATAGAATAGATAAAGAAGCTGATATCTTCATTTGTGCAACACTTTGAAAAGTTAATAGTGCAATCCTATACATGCTTACTCAAGGAATCCCACTGAGTTCAATAGGTCTTGGCCCCAGATTAATCAGCATACAATTCAGCTTTAAAACTTGATCTGAGTGTATAAGCATCATCCACATGGATCTCTCCCAGTGTGAGTGAAATTTCAAGTTCTCTAGGTACACACTGAATAATAACTAACCGTCGATATTGACCTCTGTTGTTTTCCTTCAGCAAATTCTCCCATAAGGGCGTGCTTCTACAAACCACTATGCAACCACATCTTTAAAGCAGGAGTGAATATAAGAATGGAGCCCATCACAGACACCACCAAAAATAGCCACAGGAAGATGCGGTCAAGGACCTGAGCTACAAACTTCCAGTCTTGTACTACCTAGAAAAGAAAAATGGTAGTCATGAGTGGTGTGCCTAATTTATATAACCAAAAAGCTGCTTTGAAATACACTTGGAATTTACTTTGTTCCCAATAAATGGCTGTGCTGTATCGGTTACAGGTCTTCACTTGTGAATACTAGAGTCTCTTCTTGAAAACAGAGAACCAACCTTTAAAATGATACCAAAACAACTTTTGTTACTTTGGTATCTCAGCTTTCCTCCATGAGGGAACCCTTAGGCAAAACACAAGATGCTTCTGGCAGTCTCCCATCAAGTACTGGTCAAGCCCAGACCATCCTAGCTTGACCAATCACATACCTTCAGAAATTTAGGCATGTTGTTATTTAATGTAGGCAGGCACTATGCTAGACTGAAAGCACTGCTATTATCTGGGCCTACACACATTACAAAAGTTTTGCAGTGTGACTACTTTTGGTGAATGGCCCACATGGAGAACACCTTTTGGGTAACATGGAACAGAAGCTACATGAACAAGCTAAAATGCTCAGTGAAGATTGGCTTAGAAATCCATGTTGTCTGTCCTAAACATAGATTTGGGGCCATGCTTCTGATAGCCTTTTCCTGCTCTGTAAAGTAGAATCGTTATTTAGAGAAGAGACTGGAAACAAGGGTCTGCAGGAACTAACTGGCTGGATGATAAGTCCTCTTACCGCTCCCTGTGCTGGTTGAGTCTGATGGGAGCTGCCACCCAGCATCTGTTCCCCACCCATGATTTGCTGAGTAGGGCAACCATGAGATCACTTAGGGCTGGGATGGTGATCAGTGTTCAATCCGAGGTCCAAGTTCAATTTTGGAGTTGCTCTCAAGGGCCAGTAGAGGGCAGGGCTGAATGCAAGTAGGGTGGGGCCAAAATCCTTTAAAAGACATACACATCTATAGCACTGTATTGCAGCTTAAAGCATTTCTTGCCAGTAACTAAGCCTTAGCAGAAACACATCAACCTTTAGTAAGTGCACCAAAGTTGGGAAGCGCCCCCCCCCCCCCCCCGGTAGCTGGCTGGGTCATGAAATGGGTCACAGCCTTCTGGAGAACCCCAGATGGCCAAACTGAGCTCCTTGGAAGGTCATATTTGTCCTCGGGCTTGTAGTTTAGAGAGAGCTATATACAGCGTCAGCAAATTTCAAGCACTGGCTGTCCTAAACAGCAGGTTGGTTTTAGGGGTTAAGCAGTGATAACTGGTTCTCCCAATCTGTAGTAGCCATTTAGCACTGAGAAGCATCTTTTGGGGGCAGGAAATGTATTGACATCGTGTAGCTAATGTTTCATGATACAAGCAGAGATTCACTGGACCTGTTAAGCCTAATGTTGGGGGACGGGGGCTCTGTTTGTTTGTTTGTTTGTTTGGTCTAATAGTCTCCCTCACCAAGTGCATTGTAAAGAAGCATTTAACACAGGTAAAGTAGATCATCCAGACTTGGAGAATTTTGATGCTGGACTTTGAGAATATTAGCCAGATTAACCAAAATGTGTTTCCAAACTCTTAAGAGAACCTGAGTGTGTATATTTGTTTTACAAATCTCAAACACAATAGATCTTCAGTATGATAATCTGAAAACTAGACTGCTAAAGATCTAAAGCAATCCTCTTGATCTTTAACATACCTGCCTGATGAAGTGTTCCTTCTTAACATGCCTGGAGATATACTTGATGGAATCAGCGGCCTTTTCCAAGAATGCAATCACAATTTTTTCTCTGTCCTTGAATTGCTTGTGTTTATGCTTTCTTGCTGGCTTTTGTTTCAGCGTCCCTTCAGGATCTGAGAATGAATAGCGATCTATATGCCCTTTCATGCAGAGCAGCCTGGGGAGTTTCTGGAGGAAGAGTCTTTTCACCCAAGGAGCCATTGGATGGTAGGTTGCTGATGAACGATGGTGCACATTAATGACAAAAACAGTCACGATGATTGATAGGGTTACAAAAATCATGATGAACAACAAGTATTCCCCAATCAAAGGGATAACTTTGGAGGAAGAGGGGATGATTTCTTCAATGACTAAGAGAAAAACAGTAAGGGAGACCAAGACAGAAGTCGAGAGTGACAGTTTTTCCCCCTCATCAGAAGGCAAGTAAAAAACAAGCACTGTTAAAAAAGATAATCCCAAGCATGGGATGATTAAGAAGAGGGTGTAAAATAGAGGGAGGCGTCTTAAAACAAAAGAATAGGTGATGAAAGGGTAGGAATACAAGCCATCTTTCCGGTTTCCCTTCATTCCCTTCGCATTTAGGATTTCCCACTCGCCATTATCAAAGAAGTCTGTCCTGTCCACATTTTCATCTACTAGGATTAAGTCGACCATACTGCCATCATAGGTCCATGATCCAAACTTCATTGAGCAATTCTGCCTGTCAAATGGGAAGAAGGTTACATCCATAGTGCAGGAACTTTTATAACTTGCTGGAGGTGTCCAGACTACTATCCCATTATATTTGACGATGGCTTTTGTCATCAACGAACCTTCAAAGCGGCCATCCGCACTGGAAAGGGGAGGGGGTGGAAGAGAAGAAAAGTTTCTGAATTGTGTTTCAAGTGGCTAGTTTTGATTCTTTTCCTTACCTGCCAATTCTGCTTTCTATAGCTTCAGTAATGGTAGACAGGGAAACAGCAGACCATACATCATATCAAGTGTCAGGAACAAAATCATTTCATTTTTGCATAGACAGCTGAAATGAAGAAAACTTGGAGCAGCCAAGAGTGAACTTTGGAGGGAAAGAATGGGGAACACTGAAACAAATTCCTAGGTTCAGAATGTGCTTAAAGGCACTCTATTTTAATTTGAAGTATGTAAGTTTTTCACTTGGCTATTGCAAGTGGAATTTAGAGTTTTAGTAAAAAAACAAACATGTCATCCAGGTCTGCCATAGTGTGCCCTTTGGCTTACTAGTCCAGGAGTAGAAGGCCTACAATCAACTAGCTAGGAACAAAGACGTATCCACTGCAAACACAGCGAAGTATGTGATTCACATAAAGACTCCAATGTTTCATAAATTAATTTGCTGAAATTAATCCAACCTTCTCCAACCTGGTGCCCTCCAGATCTGTTAGACTGCAGCTTCTATCATTCCCAACATTAGGTTGGGGAAGACAGAATTAACCCATTCAAAGTATTTTAATCCATTAAAAAGTGCTTCCAAACAATTAGATAGCACCAGAGAGATTGAGAGAAAGAGAGATACACTTGCATATATGCAGATAATTTTAAAAGCAAGTACTTACAAATGTGAGGCCATCTTAGAAGGCCATCATTCACCACATGAAGTGGGTTTAGTTACCCAATTTTGCCTTTGGCCTTGCCCACTACTGGAATACAGCCCTCAAGAGCTTCTTCTAAATTGAATTTGGCCATTGGACTGAAAAGGGTTCACGATTCCTGATTTGCAGTCACCTATCTTTAAGAGTGTCCTTTCGGCTTTGACCCAGTCGCTTCATTCTTTCTGGCACTACTAGTAATAGCCCTCTGCTCTTCCCCAGTAGCATACTGGACACCTTCCGACCTGAGGGGCTCATCTTCTGGTGTCATATCTTTTTGCCTTTTGGTACTGTCCATGGGTTTTCATGGCACAGATACTGGAGTGGGTTACCATTTCCTTCTCCAGTGAATCAAAAACTTTGGCCACCTAATGAGAAGGAAGGACTCCCTGGAGAAGAGCCTAATGCTGGGAACAGTAGATGGCAAAAGAAGAAGGGGATGGCAGAGGATGAGGTGGCTGGATGGAGTCACTGAAGCAGTTGGTGTGAGCTTGAGTGGACTCCGGGGGATGGTGGAGGACAGGAAGGCCTGGAGGAATGCTGTCCATGGGGTCGTGACGGGTCGGACATGACTTCGCGACTAACAACAACAACAATCTTTAAGAGGGTTTCTCCCTTAAAGGCAGCCTAGTAGTAATATTTGAGTAAGCAAGCGAGTGATACAAACAGTATGTACCCTTCAATTCACTTACACACATTAACCTGCCAACACCTTTCTCCTCTTATGTTGTCTCTCCTCTATTGAAATTTAGACTGTAAGCTCCTTGGGCCAGGGACCTGTCTTTTTGCCTTTGTTAGTTTGTAAAGCACCAGACATACTAATGGTGCTATACAAATAAATAAGCCAAGAAATAACTTCTTGGCTTTTCCTGAGCACTTTGAACTAAGGTGCCATTTACTCACTGCCAAAAAAGAGGAAATGCATTACCAAGAGACAGAACTGTGTAACATTTACATTTGCAAATTTAGATTGTGTTTAGATTTAGATTGTGTTAATATATAAATGATTGCTGTGATTTCAATAGGAATAACACACAACTCAGGCCTTTAGACTAGCTTTTTATGGTTCTTTATCTTTAAATTGAACTTGGACCAGATAGGCATTTTTTAAAGCAGGATATATGGGCCCTGACCATGTGCCACAAGTTCCAAAAATACGATACAAATACAAAATGGTAGGAATCCTATACTCACTTTTCAAACAAAACAATATCTGGGAGCCACAGGGATTCAGATGGGACCCGAATTGCTGTGATCCCACCATAGTCTTCAGGATTCCAGCACAATTTGTGGTCAATCCATTCCTTTAACAATCAGAAAAAGCAGCGGAGTTACACTTTCAGGTTTAGTTAGCTGATCATTCCAAGCCAAGAATAAACTTAGAATGGTCCCTTAAAGGCAGCCCAATCATATGTCCAATCTCAGTTCACAGAAGCACATCACAGCAGCCCCAAGGCCAAAGTGGGGCAAGGGACTGTGACTGCAAAGACCTGGCCCTGTCAACTGGTATTATTTCAGATCCTTTGCCTCAATATCAGGCTTGAAAAGTCAGCCGCAAACATGCCAGTACCCTGCTGAATCTTCCCCTTGCAAAGGTGAAATTCCCTCTTGGCAATTGATTTTAGGAATGTGGGCATAGGAAGATAGCTCAGAGAAAAAAGACCTTTTCACCAGTGGCCCGGTGATTTTGGCATACAATCCCCAGAGAGGCGCTCTTGGTTCCGACTTCCCTTGACTTTTTGATACCAACCAAAAAGACCTTTTCAATGTTATACTATGCCATTATAATAAGCTGTGGTTTTGATGTGAATGTCTAGTTCTATATATTTTTTCTTTTACACTATGGTAGTCATTAGTGAACTGTTTTAACCTGTTACTTTGCACTTTAAAGCAATTTATTTTGATTTTATTGTCATGGCATTTACTTCTTCCTTTATTTTTTACTTCACATGTCCCCCAGAAGTCTTGTGACTGAGATGTTGATAAACTCAATGAATCAAGCTTCCTAATTCCAGGTCAGGTTATCGATCTAGTACAGTCTGTTTGGGTTCCTCTGTCCTGACAGCTTCTTCTCCAGGCTCTGCCTCCTCTTCTGGTGCTGAACAGATTGTATCTCTGATGAGTAGACTGGAGATAAGATTTTTCCCAGTGAGAAAGGGAGCTAACAGAAAACAATGCAAACTTGACCTTTGAGAATGAAGCAGCCTTAACCTCAGCTCTCTTCACAAACTGCACAACAATATTCTTGTCTTTATTTTTTTTAAAGAGGGGAGGTTGCATTGCATTTTTATGGCTACCACTCTGTTTTTCAAACTGGACCTTGCTACTAATCTCTGAAAAGCAACTTGATCTGCAGACATTATCAGGTGAGCATACTTATTTCTATGATGTATAAAGTTCTCCGTGCCGATTCGTACAGCACAGGCTACTCCTAATGATACAAGAGTAGGCCAAATTGCTCTTTTTCAGGGCAGCTGGCAAGCTTACATTGGTTTCATGCCGCAGTGTAGAAGCCAAACTGCTTAGAATGGCATCAGGCTTACAGTAATAAACGAAAAAAAAGAAGCTCTCTGCTTACATTTATTATTTATGGAGGGAATTTTTGTTGCCCCGCGGGAATGCAAGAGAAAAGAACAATTTTGCTCACTAAAATCAATATGAGCAATGCAAACATCTTCCCATTCAGAATTCAGACACAGGACTCCCACAAGATCCAAATCCCACCGCCCACTGCAATATCCTCCATGCTACTGGAAGGGGTTTCAAATACCCTCTCCTTCTGCATCACTTGCACTGTGGCATGCGTTGCACAGCAGAATATTAAATATTTAATATTTAGTTAAATATTAATTAAATAATTAAATATTAAGTAAATTAAATATTAATTAAATAATGGGCACAGAAGCCTGTCAGGAAGTGAGGTAGCCCAATACCACTTTCTCGACCAGAAATTCTGTAGGGTGATGGAAAGATGGAGATTCATATAATAGGGAAACAAGGAAGAGAAAAAATGCTGACCTACAAACTACCAGACTGTGTTTCCAGCCTATCAGGACCCCATTCCACAAAAAGGAGTGGGAGGAAAACCAGAGAACAACTTATAAAATAAGAACAACTATTTATTTAAAGAGGAAGGAGTAAGTGAGGGAGGGGAAGAGGAAAAAGCCAACAAACATTCCTATGGAAGAAAGAGGCATTTTATGGGGAGAGCATCCTGCAGACTATTAGAGTCCCTGCCTCCAAAGCCCAAACACACAGAAGAGGGACTCCAGAATCTAATCTTTTCCCCAGTCCCCTTGCAGCCATTGGCAGAAAAATGGTGCCAGCTGCTTGCCAAGGCTGCAAAAATAGCCTCAGAGGGAGAGAAATGGAGGTAAATGGTGGGCAGGGGGAGGGAAAAGAAAAGGTCTAGGAAAAAAGAAATCCTGTGGCCTTTCCAGCCCCAGCTCAGCCTTTGCCAGTGTGCCTCTTCTAAACAGGTGCAAGGGTCCACCAAAGGGGACACCTGTTACAAGGGAAGTGAAGATCGCCTCCATTCTTCTCCCACTTTGGCATTAGATATTTTGAAGTATTCCCTCTCTCCAGGGTTTATTGCATAGGAACACACCATAATCTATTTAAAGCAGGGGTGTCCAACCCATGGCCTGCAGGCCGCACAAAGCTCAGGAGGGCTATGAATACGGCCCAACGTAAAATTGTAAACTTGCTTCAAACACTGAGATCTTTTTTACAATTCTGGGGGTGACTCAATTGCGTGGTTCTTGAGCGTGAACTTCGCAGATGGCAATATCACGTCACAACTTCATGTAAAATAAATGTACGTATGCTCTTGCTATTTTTTGTATGCATGGTGGTGGCAGATATCAAAAAAATTATGTACAGACCTTTTTTTTTGGGGGGGGGGGTCATCAGCTTTTGTTAGTGCTTGTATATTTAACGTGCAGCCCAAGACCATTTTTTTTCTTCTGTGTGGCCCAGAGAAGCCAAAAGGTTGGATACTCCTGATTTAAAGGAATCTGAGAGTGACACAGTCTACCTAGGTAGATCTCAAAAACTTCTAGTTGTGCAGTCCAAGACTCAGAAGTTACTGTAAGCAGCAGGCTGGTTATCAAACATTTATTGACAAGTAACTGGGGGCAGGGCAGATGCTGCTGCTCTCTTCTCTCAGTATCCTTAAGATCTCTCAGCTTCTCCCTCTTCACACTTTCCTCAGAACATTTCTTCTCAGTTTCCCTCTGCTTTTTTATTCCTGAACCATCAGAACTTAACTTCATTTCCCCAAGCCCATCTTTCTCCTATTGCTGCTCAGTGATGCAAAGTGTTGAACTCCAGGCATTTCAGCAGAGTGCTGTACAGCAGTTACACATGCCTACTAAGAAGGAAGTCACCCTGCATGCAGTGTGTTTTGAACTTTTCTCCGCCAGTGGTTTCAAAAAGATGTGGGGACAATTTGGAGTGGAGATTCGGAAAACAGGAAAACAATTGAGCACCCCTCCCCTCACTGCTTCTTCACACCAAATCCCTACCCACAGGGGTTGTTTTTGGAGACAGCATCAGGGATTCATAACCAAGAGTTGCAGATAGTCTCTACTCAGAGTTACAGTTGCTTAATTTCATGTCATTATTCCTAGTTAAGTGACTGCATAATGCGCTAAAAAAAATCTTCCCCCACTTTGATGTTTACACGCTTCAGATATGAATAATCAATTATGTCCTACAAGTAGATGATGCATGTTTAATTCTTTCCACTACTTTCCAGCACACCAGTTACTCCAAGGCTTCTGCATAGATCCTGTGTCCTTCTCTAAAGACAAATTCACCCATGTCTTTAATCTAAGAAGACAGCAAAGTGTACACTTGTGGATCCATCTAGGCCAATTGTTCTTTTCAGTAAGTGAACTGGGAATTTCTAAGAGGCCTCCTGGAAAGGCACAATCTCCTCCCACTCCAGTCCCAGTCAGAAGCTCTTAGAAGTCAAAGGTGCCTTTATTCTGTCAGCTAATACCATGGGAGATAGTTGTGTGTATTCTGCCTTGATCTGCGGGATTCTGTGGACAGCTCCCCATATGGGGAGCCATTGCACTGCAAACAGTGGCAGCTTCTCAGTAAAGTAGCCTGGATCACTGGCCTAAATTCACCTACCAAAGCTGGCCACTGCATCCTCCTGAACAGGAAGGAATATAAGAAAGCTTCCTGCTCCAGTTGTATCTTATGTATGTATGTACATATAGATGCATTTATTTATTATATTTTAATCTGCCCAATTACAGACATTATCTGGGAGATTACAAAAAGTTAAACATCAAAATACAACACAAAACAACACATTGCATAGAACTGAATATATATATGAATGGGTGAATGCCTGGAGAAAAATCAAGGCCTTTTCCTGGAAGCAGAAAGGTAACAGCATAGGCACCAGGCAAACCCTCTTGAGGAGGGAAGACTCTTATTAATGGGCACCAAGTAGATACATGCAGGAGGCAACAACTTCCAGCAGCATTGTGTTACAATACCCATAATCTCCAGTCAGTGTGGCCAATGCCCCTGCTGGCTGGGGATTATGGGAACTGGAGTTTGACACATGTGGAAAGCACTATGTTGAGAAAGGCTGCTTTAGATACTCTGGCCTCAAGTTGTTTAGAGCGTAAAAGGTCAGGATCACCCCTTTGAATTGAGCTCAGAAAAAGACTGGAAGCCAATGCAGGTGATGAAGTGGGGGCTCCTCACTAGCATCCTTCAGCATCAAAGTCTTCCTGAGCTTTGTCCCATTTCTTTATCTTTGGTTGCCATTTGATCCTGACTGCTGACTTGCTCCTGCCTCCTGGTCTGTCCTTGACTGATTCTTTGGTGCTTCCAACTTGATTTATCCTTCACTCCCTGCCTCACTCCAGACCACTGCCTATGTCCAAGGCCAGACACACATCCCTTAAGATTGCCATGGATAGCTGTGTTGCTTTTGCATTTGTCAGAGACAGCCCTTCTATTGCCAGCATGCTTCTGGCTCACCTGAGACACAGATAGGATTTCATTTCAGATGAAGGAGTGGCAAAATTAGTGCTGAGTTGCCTTCAGAGATTGAGGCACTCATGTGATAAACACATTTGTGTAAACATTGAAATTTGTGGAATTAGAATGTCTAGTTTATCTACTGGTCTTTAACTCGGGGGATGCAACTCTCAACTGTGTTGTGCTCCGATCTAGGCTTGCTTGTACCATCTGTGCCACCATCATTTTCTTTCTTTTAGTTTAAGGAGAAGATAGGGAGGAAGAAAAGGAGGAAGACAGAGATGCAGAGTAAAAAGTTCCATTTGGCCAGTTATTTGACCAGTTAAAGGATGACTCATGCCTGCTTCTGAAAATATTGGAAACAACTGCTTTAGGCAGCAATCTATCATTCTTACCTGGCAAGTATTTCCTATTGAGCTCAGTGGGGTTTACTTTTGACATAGACATAGAATCACATTCTTATCATTCTTTTGCTTTCTTTCAGCTAATATTTAAGCTGTATATCACCTTTAACTAACCAGGGACCCTTCAGATGTTTTGGACTACAACTCCCAGCATTCCTGAACATTGGTCATGCTGGCTAGGACTGATAGGAACTGAATTCAAAAACATCTGCAGAACATTAGGTTGAAGAAGGCTACTTATATGACTGTAGTAAGTGCCATTATTTCAGCCAAAGGGAAAAAATCTAAATCAAAATCTAAAAATCTTGAAGACTATTAAGCCTATGGATTATTTTCCAGCATATGAACAGTAAATTGAAGTTAAGCCATCATTTTAAAAAGATTTATTTAGTTAGTTATTTTGATTGACTGGTCAACCAAAATTGTACAAAAGGAAGTAAAATTCATCTCTAACCTTCTCCCACATTGGCCTTAGATATTATGAACCGTTCCATCTAATGAGAGTGCATTGCATAGGATTACACCATAAACAATTTAAAGTAAGCCTCTAAATAATACCTTGGAGGAAAGAGAATCTAACTGACTGAAGGAACTTCAGGTCAACCAAACTCTCATTCTTGTGCCCTCCAGGAGATAAATAATAGTCCCCAAGGGCTGAGATGCCCTGCTTTGCCAACAAAGGAAGTAAAGGGAATTTTGCACGTCCTCTCCAGCAGTACAAATCATGCCAACCTGAGCTGCATTTAGGCACGTCGAGAACTAGGGAGCAGTTCAGAAAGGGAGTTTTTGTGTTACTCTGAATTCTGGTGGCTTGTCTTAGTCCTAGCTCAGAAATTAGGGGAAGAGGGTGAAAAATAAATGCAAATGATCCAGGGGTGATATAGGGTTCCAAATAAATTACAACAATGTTACATGCATTTTTATAGACATTATTGAACAAATTAACTTTATATTCAGTGCAAATACTTGGACATTCAAACAGAATCATAGTTAAAAGTGCCAAGAGCTTCTCTCTGGAGACATTCAGGGCAAAACTGGACAGTCATCTGAGTGGGATGGTGTGCCTTGGCATCCCGCACCAGCAGGGGGTTGGACTGATGGCCTTCTTGGCCCCTTCCAACCCTACTCTTCTATGAATCTATGAATCATCTATTTCAGGGCCTTCATACTCATTGATCCAACACTGGAGAGGAGGATTTGGTGGATTTCTGACTGAGCCACTGGGTAAGAGAATGGTACCACCTGCATGGATGACTGTTTATTTTCTTTAGATGTAAAAGAATTAGAGATTGGCTTTTTCAAAAACTGGGTGCTAAATTTTTAGGGAAGGTTGACATACTGAGGAAGGTAAGCCCCCAGGTTCTTTCTCATATCCCCTTACACACAAATGGTTCTGTCCTACTTCCCAGCACCAGTGGCAAAGTGGTAACTTTTGAAGCACAGGTGGTCATCCTGGGGTCTCTGTAATCCCACACCCAAGGGTGCCTCCAAAATTACGGCATCTCTGTTGTTCTATATCAACAAATAAGTTCTAGGATGTTTCATTTCCACCAGGGACAGCTCTTTTCTAAAGCAAATGGGTCTTAATCACCCATTCAAGATCAAACCAACTCAAACTACCTGCATTAGAGCAGAGACAGCCCACAACAATATATTGTTGGGGATAAGAAAATCCATTTCTCAGTCTCTGCCCCACTACTGCCTAAGCTGAGAAAGCACATGGAATCTTGAGGGGCTCCTCAGATAATCTCCACATCCGTGCTCATCAAAAAGCCCCTATGTGTTGACCCTATTGAGGTTGTTCCACTATAACACTGCCCAGAACTAGTGCCATGCTTCCAGGCTGCTGCACTTCAGAAACTGGACAAATTACTTCAGTAGATCCAGTCTCTAGGGAAGGGATTTTGAGCCAGTGATAATCTGTACAGCTGACAGAACTGGCCCGACCACTACAGAATGTTCTCTGTGGTGCCTCTAAAATAAAATTATGCTCCACAATTGAACTGGTGAAACGAAATTAATTTATTAACCAGTTTTCTTCCATAATTACTTGGCTGGGCCACACAGCTCAAGGACAGCTGTGGGTTGCCTAAAAAGGGGGCGGGGAGCAGCCTGGGGCTGGTTTGCACTTAAGAGGGAAGTGTACATGGTTAATGTACTGTGCCTGAATGCAGCACATTCAGGCCAGCTGTCCTCTTATAGTAAACTCTAGGTATCGCCAAGGAAGGAAATATATAGCCTATCACCTTTATTTACCAAGATGACGGGCTTTTAACCTGCCACTTCACTGAGGCTTCTGCTTCAGGACTCATGGTGTGATTAAATGTAGATACTTTACATGTATGTCTCCCCCCACCCAAGGTTCTCTCATCCTCTCTCTCTGCCTGTCTGTATCTTCCATCATACAACCACAAAGTGGCTCTGCAGTGCAGTAGGACTGCAAAAGAATTTTTGCCAACAAGAAATTTTCATTCTGGTTCATTTTACACCAATTCCCTTGGTGTAAAAAATGCTGTGGAAATGCTTGACAAGGAAGGGAGAGGCCCTGAAGGATGACATTGTTATATAAAGTAGCTGCAAACTAACACTAGGAGGGAATTGTGGGCACACAATAATTGACTCATCTAGAGAAGCCTGCTATCTTAGTCATACAAGGTGGAGGATTCCCCCCCCCCCCCACCAGCCCTTGGTCGCACTAGGCTTCAGGGAACCCTCCTTTCCCCTCGAGCAGCCTTTCCCAACCAAGCACCTCTGTTGAACTACAATTCCCATCTTCCTCAGCTTGCATAACCAGTGAGAGTTGTTGTCCAACACATGTGAGGGGCATCTGGTTGGGAAACACCATAATAGAAACACTTAACAAAACCTCGAAGGTATCTTGTTTCTGGTACCTGAGTTGTGGACTTCATACTTTATGCTGTCCAAGAACCCCACCTGCACCAGTATCTCTGCCTCAGAGAACACCTGTGAGCCTGCCCTGAAATCTTTCTCTATTAGAGAAGATTCTGGAACATACAGCTATTTCCCTCAAAGTACTGGCCAGCCCTACTTGGCCTCAACATTTTAATTCACTTATGTGCTTATTTCTATCTCCCCAATAGATGAAGCTCTCTGGGAAGTTGCCAGCAGTTCCTAAAAACAAGATATAATCCCATAAAAACAACCATAATTTTTTCCAGACTAGATATTGTTAAAATTTTGCAAACAATTTAGCAGCAGATTGAGTAGATCCATTAAAAATACCTGACATAGGTGCCACCATTAAACCATTAAATAAACCTTACATATTGCTAAATGCTGCAGCACAGAGGACTTTCTTAGAGGGCATTGTAAGGATGACAAGTTGCATCCAGCAGGCCTCAGTGCAAAGATCTTTTCACCATTGGGGGGCTGTCACTGAGAAGGCCCTCTCCCTTGTGACTGCCTTCGAAGCCTCCTCATTAAGTGGCACTCTGAGATTGCCCTGCATAAACTGATCCTGTTCCCTTGAATCCTAAGCCATGTACACCCAACATTCCATGGTTGCATCTTGACAGGAAGTAGCAGCACAGAAGCTGGTGCTTTTTTGTCATGGCCTGATGTCTCATAAGGGAACTCAGAAGCACCAAAACTGCTGCATTAGAAATATAATCCCTCCCCACCTCCGTGAATCAGTTTTATTACAAATGTAATAAACATCTAACATCTTTGCAGGCCATTAATCAGCATTGCCTCTGTGTAGCATCACAGTTAGATAATAGTTTCTGGGATGTAAGCCAGCTTGTATCCATTGAGGTCAATGGGACTAAATTTCCTTAAATTCAAGCACCTCCTGTAAAATATTTACAGCCAATCATCATAAGTATATTTATACAGACACACATTCACACACACACAAACTGATTACCTGTTTCAGCCATACATTGGTTGTCATTAGCTGATTCTTTTCATCCTGGGAAAGGAAAAAGCATAAGTCACTGTTTTCTTTCAGAGCATTACAGGGATGGGGTTCCCAATAGAATTTGTGCATAAAATAGTTAACCTTTAACGGCACACCTCTTTGGACTAACACTGCCAGTTGTAATTAACATAGGAAGGCGGAGTGGCTCTGCAATTCTTAAGGCAGCTCTTCCGCTTGAGTTACAACTGCTGGCCTGGAAGGCTGATCGAGCCTTTTATACCTGCTTGACTGAAAGGAATCCAGTGGTTTGAGCGCTGCTTTGCACAGTGGCTGCTGTCAGGGCCTGCAGGGCTGGAGTAGGAAACCTCACACCCCAAGGCCGAAGTGCAGCCTCTTGGGCCCAGGCCACAGGGCCTTCCTCAAGCAGGAGCATGTAGTGCTGGCCCTTGCATCCAGCTGGCTATCCAGATCAGTCAGACCTTTTACCCCAGAAAGAGGCTGGCCCAGTGGTCTCTGGCCCTGCTGGCCCCCAGCCCAGCCAGCTACCAACATCCTGGCTTAGATTTGGGGATGGCTGGCAGTGACAAGCCTGGACTGGCCCTGACACTGTTGCAATAAGAAGGGCCCAAAGAGCTATTTAGCCCAGCACCCTGTTTACACAGTGGCCAAACGGATGCCTGGGATAAGCCCACATCCTACCCATGTTCCCCAGAATTTGGAGTTTTTATTTATTTATTTAAAACTTTTTTAGACCATCCCTCACTGAAGTCTCTGGACGGTTTAACAGTATTTAGAGGCAGGCTGTTTCTTGTACTGGAGCTAATACACAGCTATTGGGACTAATAGCCATTGATAGTGTTGGAGTTGCCCTAATGAAAGTTTAGAAACATAGAAACAAAGTGAGTCAGAGGAGGTTCCCCAGGCCATCTAGTCTGACCTCCCTCCCCCAGCTCTAGCCAGCTCCGCTCATGACATGCCTACTATGTGCATGTCCAAAAGTTTTGTATTTTATGCATGTCATACTTTAGAATATAGAAAACTGCCTGTTTTCTTCCCCCTTCAATCTGCAGGGTTTTTTCATTCAGGTTCCTTCTATGGGAAAAGGAGGCAAGCCCCAAGACAGGCAAATCGATATGTAATCTTGAAGATTCCCCTCACCCTTCTGCCAGCACCCTCATTGTCTTCCTGAAATTCCTACCTCAGACTGTAAAAAGCAAACATGTCTATAATGGTTTCCCAATGTTTCTACATTTGCCGTTTGTTCTCGTATTGTTCTTACATATCACCCATTCAAGGTCTCATTCCCCTCCCTCTCAAGTGAACATGACTGCAAGTCCATAAAACACTCTGAACATGCTCTGATCCATGCAGTCAGTCTTAACTGCTACCCTGCAGCACTCTTGTAATTTAGGGATTTCTGTAGCTGCAAATAAAACTGTTGGGTGCTTGATTGTACGCTTGCACTGAACCCAAGTATTCTTTCCAAGCAGGTCTGAAATCCTGACAATAGTCTTAGCCTCTGTGAATTTGACTAAGAGAATCAGTGTGGTGTGGTAGCTTGAGTACTGGACTGGGACTGGATCAGGAGATCCAGGTTCTAGTCCCCACTCAGCCATGAAGCTCACTGGGGGACTAAGGGCCAGGCATATACACTCAGCCTAACCTACCTCACAGGGCCATTGTGGTGAGGAGAGAATGCAATGCTGTAAACCACCTTGGATTCCTCACAGGAGGAAAAAGGGCAAAATATAAATGCAATGTAACATTAATTCCATTTTAAAGTTGTACAGATTGGTACCCAACAACTAGTTCTTGTGATAATGAATTCCACCATTTAGCTATGTGCCATGTGAAGAACTCTGTTCTGAATGATGACCCCTGCTTCCAGTATTATGGGAGATAGATCACTTTCTTCACAAAATGCATCATTTTTACAGCATCCCCTTTGAGTGACTGAAAACAGGTCAGGGATGATTTAGTGACCATTAGGGAACCAGAGGCTTTCCGACCCCTTTCACCCAGGGTTCAATTTAAAAGCTGCTCTGCTTCCCTTCAATTCCAGTTTAAGTGAAGCTCATCCATTTTGTACAGGCCTGGCTTGTTAAAATAAACAAACAAGTACCAGTAACTGCCAAATGTAAACCTCTTCTCTGTAAACCAGCGTCTCATCTGTGCATTGAGAATCCTCACATGTGCCATTATTGATGCTTTTGGTTGCCCAGATAGCATAATGCCAGTGGGAGACTTTTATACAAATTTAATTAATAAATATATCCGTGTAGCAAGCTCGGTGTGTAGAACTGCTGGCATTTCAGTGAAAGAAACTGTGAAGTTTTAGCTTTCAGCTTCTTACCTAGCAGCCTACATTTGACTTTTAGGATATTGTAACCTTTCCTCTAGTGCCTTGATCATCTTGATTGCTCTTTTCTACACCTTCTCCTGCTCTACAATAAGTGAATAAAGTATGGTGACCAGAACAATGTTCAGCATTCCAAATCTGATCACACTATAGATTTGTAAAGAGATATTATGATATTGGCAGGTTTATTTTCTATTCTTTTCCTTATGAGACCCAACATGGAATTTGCCTTTACCACAAAATGTGCACACTGGGTTGATGCTTTCATCAAGCTATCCTCCACCATGCCAGATCCCTGCACTGGTTAGTCACCACCAGCTCAGTTCCCATCCGTATATGTTAGGAGTTTTGAATATTAGAAATCAGTTTTGCCCCACTGTGCATCACTTTACACTTGCTCATGCCAAACCTAATTTGTTATTTTGATGCTCATTTATCCAGTTTGAAAAGATCCTTTGGAACACTTCAACATCCCTTTTTGTTTTAATCATCCTAAACATTTTGGCATTAAAACTGACTACCTCATTGCTCACCCAGCTCCAAATAATTTATGAACAAATGAAAAAGCAAACCTGAGAAACATTGCACCAAGACACACTTCTACTAAAGCCATTGACTAGTAGTCACTGACAGCCTTCTTTTCAAGAATGTGTCCAGTTCCCTTTTAAAACCACCCAGATTAGCAGCCATTGTTACATCTTGTGGTAGATAATTCCATAGTTTAACTATGTGCTGTGTGAAGGCCTTCCTCTTATCCATCCTGAATCTTCCACCAATCAACTTCATGGGATGACCCTGTGTTCTAATATTATGAGAGAAGGAGAAAACAGTCTTACAACCCACTTTCTCCACATGATGCATAATTTTGTACATCTCTATCATGTCGTCCCCTTACCCACCTTTTTGCTAAGCAAAATAGTTGCAGTTGTTGTAATCTTTCCTGAAAGGGGCATTGTTTCAGCAGCCTCATTTAGTTGCCACTTTTTTGCATTTTTTTAAAAACTCTACCATCTCCTATTTTTGATGCAGTGGCCAGAAATATAAACAGTGTTCCAGGTGTGGACACACAATAACACCACACCATTTCTATAAGGGCACTATGATATTGGCAGTTTCATATACCTAACATAGGATTTGCCTTTTTTTACAACAGTTGCATGTAGGGTCAACATTTTCATTTAACATGAATAGGATTGATGGGGAAAATGAAATAAGAGTATAAGGGTCAGGTTCTACTTGAGGAAGGTAAATTGCCATTCTTTGTACTTAAAGAAAGAAAATTGTCCTTCCCTGCCTGTGGAACTCAGAAAAATGGGTTCATAGATCACCTACCACATCAACTATCTGGGAGAGCTTTAATCCAAAATACACCTTTATGGTATCATTGGAATGTTTTACTGGTCTGATCCACTTCTGATAGCCTTGAAATAAGTGCCTCAAAAGGGCATCTTCATTCTCAGCAAATGAGCTGAAAACAGTAAAACCTGAAAAACAAAAAAGAAGGGAGAAAGGGGAATATGTAGATAAATATGAGGTAGCATGCAAAATATGACACTCACATGCTAAAATCAAAGCGAATGTTAAGCAATAAAAATCTACTCCTTGGCCACAGAATGAATCTTTTAAAAGAATGGTGGAGCTGAGATATCGACCCTTTTGGTCCTAACTCCAGTGGGAAGAGTTTCATTGTACATGTTCTCAGTAGATGAGTATGCATGTGAGAAACCATTTTTTGTGTCTACAATTAAATCACTATTCTGAAAGGGCAATCCAGGGCAGAGTAGAATTGAAAATGGCTTCTTCTTTGGATAGATTTAACATGAAGGGGTAAAAAGGACAATAGTTGAGCCTGAGCAGAGGGACTGTGTATAAAGGAGATATCAGGAAATGTGGGTTTCAGCCAAGCAGACTTCCTGACAAACTTCTTTAGATTTCTTGCCCAAATTATGCTATTTCCTTTGCTATGCCAACTGGAAGGCAAGTGTTATGGTTAATGCCCTCAGCATTTCAGACTACAAATCATTCACCCTCAGCAGCACTGAGGGAGTCAGAAGAACAAGCTTGACCATCGCTGGTTAGGGGTGATGGAAGTTGTAGTCATACATATCTGAGGGACACCAAGTTAGGAAAGGATGTCACAAGCCATACCAAATTAGAAAATTTGTTTGAATAAGGTCATGAATGAAATAACTGAAAAGTTGGTACACACACATATATAGTAGACTCTCCATTAAACAACACCCATGGGGATTGGTGGGTGCTGTAGTTTCTGGTTGCTTAAGAGTTACTATTAAAAATAGGCCAAACTAATACTATACCACATACTATATCATACCATAAACTCTCTGTTGACTTGATCTTAATATAGAAATACAGTATTAAGAGAAAGACATACTTCTTTGTTTTCTAAGACCAAGCCTTAATGTCATGGATTCTTGATGAACTGACATTAAATGTCTCCATGAGTACTAACCTCTTGCATATCCCCATCTTCTGCTTCACTATGCACTTATGCTTACTTGGGACCTGTTTCAGTTTACCTGGGGTTCGACAAGAACATGAAATGTGAATAACAGTAGATCCTAAACACTGGTTTGTTTACACATGGTGAATTGATGGGAGTGGGAGACAAGCAAGTAGGCTTACACATAGCATGGCACACCAAGTTTAAACTTACATTTCTGCTGGAAACGGAATTTATTTTAATTTTTATTTAAAGTATTATTTCTTTGATTTTTTGCCAGTTGCTTGAGTTCCAGTTAATGGAGAGTCTACTATATATGAAAAACTGTCCAAAAGGCATAAATCCCTTGACTGAGGAA